TGGGCAAGTAACGGAGGCGTCTGGAGGCGATGTTTAAGCTCCTGGAAAGCGTGTTCCTGTGGCGCTTCCCACTTGAACTCCACGTCGGCCTTGGTAAGGTTTGTGAGAGGATCGGCGATGCGGGCGAAGTTTTTCACGAACCGCCTATAATAGGCGCACAGGCCCAGAAATCGGCGCACGGCTTTCTTGTCAGTAGGCGGCGGGAAGTCGGCGATGGCGGCTGTTTTCCGTGGATCGGGACGAACTCCAGACTTGCTGATAACGTGCCCCAGAAACAAGAGCTCCTCATACGCAAATCTGCACTTTTCTGGCTTCAGTGTGAGTCCGGAAGTCTTTATGGCTTGAAGTACAGCTTCAAGGCGCCGAAGATGCTCGTCGAAACTCGAGGAAAACACGACGAACGTCGTCCAAGTACACAAGGCAAGTCTGCCACTTCAATCCTGCCAGTACTGTATCCATAACACGCTGAAAAGTTGCAGGCGCTGAGCAAAGGCCGAAGGGCATCACCTTAAACTCGAAGAGGCCGTCCGGTGTTATAAACGTCGTCTTCTTTCGGTCTCTTTCGTCGACTTTGATTTGCCAATAGCCAGTCTTGAGGTCCATTGACGAAAAGTACTTGGCGTTATGGAGCCGATCAAGTGCGTCGTCTATTCGTGGGAGAGGATACACGTCCTTTCTTGTGATTTTGTTCAGGCGGCGATAATCGACGCAGAAACGTAGGGTCCCATCCTTTTTCTTCACTAACACCACGGGGGATGCCCATGGACTCTTGGACGGCTGGATAACGTCATCCCGCAGCATTTCATCAACTTGTCTCTTCATGGCCTCACGTTCTCGCGTCGAAACCCTGTACGGACTCTGACGGAGTGGTCTGGCATTTTCTTCGGTTATGATGCGATGTTTCGTGATTGGGGTCTGCCGAATTTTCGATGACGACGAAAAGCAATCTTCGTACTGTTGGAGCACGGCCTTGAGCTGTTCTTGCTTATCGTTCGGAAGTCTCGGATTGACGTCGAAAGCTATGGGAGGGGCTTGGTTCCTCTGAGCAGGTTCCGCAGAATCGGCGAGGGCGAAAGCACTGGTGGCTTCGATAATTTCTTCGATGTATGCGACCGTTGTTCCTTTGTTCACATGTTTGTACTCATTGCTGAAATTCGCGAGCATAACCATTGCTTTGCCTCCCCGCAGCTCTGCAATTCCTCTTGCGACGCAAATATTTCGGGTGACCAACAGATGCTGACTGCCTTCAACGACGCCTTCGAAGTCAGGTGATTTAGGAGCGCCGACTGGAATAATGACGCTTGAGCGAGGCGGAATGGTGACTTGTTCTTCCAGCACATTCAAGGCATGGTGTCCTGACGGCGTGCGCGGCGGTAGTGCTTCTTCTGTGGATAACGTTATCGACTTTGTTTTTAGGTTGATGACAGCACCATGGAGGCATAAGAAGTCCATGCCAAGGATGACATCTCTCGAGCATTGCTGTAGGACTACGAAGTCTGTAGGATAAATACTGCCTGTTAATGGTGACTCTCGCTGTGCAGATTCCTGCAGGCGTTACGAGATGACCTCCGACTGTGCGGATTTCAGGGCCTTTCCAAGCTGTTCTAACTTTCTTTAACTTTGCGGCGAACGACCCACTGATGACAGAATAGTCGGCTCCAGTATCGACGAGAGCGGTCACGCTGTGGCCGTCGATAAGAACGTCGAGGTCACTAGTTCGCCGTCTCGCATTACAGTTAGGGCGTGGCGTCGGGTCACGGCTGCGTCAGCTTGTTCCGCTGCTTTCATGTTGCGTCGTCAGGCCACCTTCGGTAAGTGAGCTTTCGCCGTCAGGGCTTTGCCTGGTTGGCATTGTGTTCGGAAAGCTCCGTCGCGGCGGCGTCGTCGTCGGAGGATCTTCGGTAGTTCGTCGCACAGCAACCGCACCTCCACCGGTTGCTGCCCTTAGTTTCCCGGATACAGGCTAGGAGACCGGCCCCGCGTTGGGCCAGAGTACTGCCGGTGGTGCGGTGACGTGCGGCGGCTGGGCGACGGCGAACGCGAAGGGCTTCGTTGTGTCCACCGAGTTCCTGTCAGGTAGTCGGCGATGTCACGTGGTCGTTCTCCTGGCTGTGGACGCGGTGCATTGACGGCGAAGCCACACAGTCCTATCTGTCGGTACTGGCAACGGCAGTATGTGTGTCCGTGTGATGAGTGAAGTGGCCGTGCGTGATCGGGAAGATAGAATTGTGTTTGAAGTGCGCGCCACAGATACAGTCGAAGAAGACGACGCAGGAAAATCAGGGTAGTGGGGTGGTGCGAAGAAGAAGGAGTGAGGCAGACGTGGCTGAAAGGAAGAAGCAAGGTTGAAGAACCAGTGCGTGGGAGCAGTGACCCGTCGGGTTGCGGACTCGAGGTCTCAGCGGGCTCCCACCTGGGGCCATACCAGCCGTCCTTGCAGTTCGGGCCTGGCGTGGGCGAAACGTCGCCAGGACGTTTCCGCCAGGCAAGTCTGGCACTTACGGCAGCAAGCACCAGCAAGCGTTCGAGATAGACAAGGCAAACGCCATGCGTGCTCCAGGTCAACGACCTCCGCAGTGAGCCGCGTCGGCCGTCCCTTCCCAGCGTTGAGTTTGCCGCCGGGACTTGACCACCGCCTTCCTCTCCGGTGAACTCTCTGTTTTTATGCCCTTGTGACTCTCGCACCAGTATTCCAAGCATATTATATTTTTTCTCTTACTTCATTTATTATTAGACCTTCCATGTCTTTTGTAAACACATTTTTCTTGTGTGATTGCATAAACGGCATCGTTACTGCCCGATGACGATTGAGTCATCGCAGGTTTCCGTTCAGAAACACGAGCGTCTCATCTAGAGCTTTGTCTCTCTATACAGCTCGTTACAGTCCGGCCTCGCCGCAGTGGTAACAGAGCGGGCGATGGTCAGGGGTGCGCCAGACGTCAGTCTTCCTCGGTGCACTGCGCTGGGCCGCTGGCGAACGGTATGACGTCGGTGGGGGTGGTGGTGGCGGTGGCGTCTGTCGACGGAAGTGCGATGGGGCGGCGTTTTGGCGTGGACGGGGAGCGTTGTGGCGCAGTGCAGCGGCGTAGCTCCCTGCTCCGGCTCGAGCAGCGGTGCGTGGGGAATTTGAAGCGATTGCCGAACTTCTTCTCGCACAATGTCGGCGATTGAATCCACTTGAGGCTGCGCCGAAGGCAACAGCTTGTGCAGCTCTTCTCGCACGATCGCTCGGATCGTTTCACGCAGGTCTCCGGAGTTACTGGCTTGAGCAGCAGCGCAGTCTGCAGTCAGTCGACGATTATACTGTCTGGTGCGCATGTCCAGGGTCTTTTCGATAGTGGTCGCTTCGGCTACAAATTCTTGGACGGTTTTCGGTGGGTTTCTCATCAGTCCCGCGAAGAGCTCCTGTTTGACCCCTCGCATGAGGAAACGAACTTTTTTCTCCTCAGGCATGTCTGGGTCAGTGTGACGAAATAGTCGGGTCATTTCTTCTGTGAAAATGGCGACATTTTCATTTGGTAGCTGAACCCGGGTCTCTAATAAAGCAGCGGCCCTCTCTTTGCGAGCGATGCTCGCGAACGTTTGCAGGAATGCGCCGCAGAAAACATCCAACGTTCGGAGCGTGGACTCCCGATTTTCGAGCCAGGTCCTTGCGGTGTCTTCCAAATAGAAGAACACACGACGCAGCTTTTCGTCATGGTCCCAGCGGTTGAGGGCCGCCACACGGTCGTATGTTTCTAGCCAGGACTCCGGGTCTTCGAACGAGGACCCATGGAAAATTGGTGGTTCCCTGGGTTGATGCATGACTATCGTGGTCTGGGACGCTGCGGTTGTCATTGTCGCTGCAGTCGCGGTCATGGCCTTGGTCTTCCGCGCCTTGTCTTGTAGAAGCCCGTACTTCGGTGGTAGCCCTTGCTGTCGGCGGCTTGTTCGCTGCTCCTGGTTGGCGTCGGTGTCTTCTCCGCGACGTGGGCTGGGTTCACGGCTTGACGGGGGCGTCCGGTACATGAACGAAGCAGCACCTCCACCAGATGTCACGGGGTCGTGACGTGGCCGAAGACAGGAGACTTCGTGTTGGGATTTAACTGTTTATTTGGGCGAACCTGTGCCCGGTAAACGGAAAGTCCAATTACAGCAGCAGTCTCGCACAGATAGCAGTCTCGGACTGATAGCGGCGAACGGAGCGTCGGCCTTCGATCAACAACTGACAAGCGGCGAAGCGCGTCGACATTTATACTCTTGCCGTCGAATGTTCTAGCGTTATCGCTGGTGGTGGCATAGGTTCCAGAACAATCTGTACTGTTCGCACAGTGAGCGTGATCATATCGAAATGATCTACTACAGTCCAGAACCTTCTCGAAAACTGCAGGCGCCGTTTGCGCTGAGAATCGTGTGGTGTTTTGAGACGATAACAAAAACTTGGTAAATGGGACGTGGCAATACTTAGATTACGCCCTTCTCATAATTAGTTTCTTGTGGCTAGCATGAGCTTAGACCTTATGGCCTCTGTCTGCTTGAGATCTGCACAAGTTGCGTGAACTGCTTCTAAAAGCAGCATTTATGAATAGTAACGGTTGGTTGGCACTCTGTAGCGGTGGTTTTAGTAACAGCAACGTCTGTCCGAGTAACTCTTGAAGTGTTGTGAAATGCGTCAAACAATCGTAGCCGCTTATCGAAAACAGTCACTTAATGATCTGCCATGGGGAGATTGTAATACGATAATGGTAGCTTGCAATCAGATGCCCAATAATGAAAGCACCCACTTACGATGTGCCATAGAAAGACTTTAATGGATTATGGTAATAAGACGTTCTTGACGTTCGTGTTTACTCGGTTCTGATGCACTACCTTTTCGTTCCTAAAAAAAAAAATGTCTCGCAACGACTTGGGCACTGCACTTCAGCACTAAATCAAAACTGCATTCGAACTGAGATACTAGCTTGGTGAACGTCATCGCCACGTGCATCTCTCATGAACACACTCATTGTTTGTTTCAACAGGTGATAACGATTATGACTTCTGGGACCCAAGTGACTATGATGGTATGTGTAAAGCACTTTTGTACTTTCAGTGATATGGTGGGTGGCAGTCCTGCCAATATTGTGAAAATGCCTATTTCATTGTCTGAGCTATTCTCAATAACTGTTCTTTTTTTTACACTTATTAGTATCACTCAAAAACACTGCATACTGCTCGAATGCAGGCTGTTTCTTTTAAATGCCACCGAAAATTGTAACGTGAACGAACCACCCTGCTTGAATGTCCTCCACCGAAGTTGACGAGGTGTTGTCATTACTATACTTGCAGCCAACTTTCTTTTCCTGTGAGTGGTATGCTATGGGTGGCGAGTGTCTGCACACGCGCTCTACATGAAGTAGCCCATCATTAGGAGTGTTTTGCATTGCTGTGGAATGCGATGGGTGCATGCTATCAACGTTTCGTATCAATGCAGACGCCGCTTTGCGCTAAGGCCTGCGTAAAAGGGGTACTTTTTCATACGTGCCAATGTGAAAAGTGACAGTGTAAAATGTAAACCAAGCACAAATATCTCGCTGGTGTGGGCTGCATCCAGTTTCAAAGAGCTACATGTAGAAAATGGAGTATTTTCATATGCACTCAAACTGCAATATACTAAACACAGACATAGCGAAATATTGGTTATAGCGAAGTAAACTAAAAATTGTCTTGCAATATATAATGTTAAGAGTAACCTTTATAGTGAATTTCTGGATATTACAAACTTAATTTTCTTGCAAGGTGCAACTTTCTTACAATGGAATTTGAGTGTATAGCGTAGAAAATACTGATGCAGTTATTAGGCTTCAATCGTTAGTAGTGCTATAAGTGCTAATGAGCTCAGTTGTCCACAGCTGTAATGATGAGTTCTTTATGTAGCTTTTCAATGACAATAAAGGCAAGTATTCTCAATCTCTGTTAAGTTTGATTTCCTTCAGTTATGGCATTTGACATGTTCAAATGTAGCGTTTAGCTGTTTTGTGGAGGATTGCTTCTCAGTATAGTCTTCGCTATTACGTAGGTAGGCATAGTATAGAGTTTTGGTAAAGGAATGTGTTCTTCAGGCTCTCATTTGGTTGGAGCAAGTGCATATACACTCAAACCACATTATGACGAAGCTGCTTTTTACACGAAAATAAGTTCTTCATATCTGAAAATTAGTTATTAAGGTATATGCCTAGCACTGTCTATTTCAAGAGTATGCTATACTCACTTTGTTATAACCGATATTTTATTAATTGTGGGTCTGTTTGTCAAGGTTTGAGAATATTTTCATCCTGTGAGCTTAGACATGAGCAGTTAATGTTCAAACCACTCACAGGAGTAATACGTTTCTGACACGAGTGACCGTCTACTCCCACACATGATCAACTTTTAGCCGAGGGCCTCTTCAGAGCTGGCGGCGTGCTTATCAACTTCGGCGGCTGGGATGACCCCGACAGCGATGACTACGACGACTTCTGGGGTCAAGGTCCAGCTGACAAAGATTTAATCCCAGAGGACAATGCATTTGCAGAGGAAATCGCCTACCAGGAAAATGTAATCGTGGAAGAAAGCGAACTTCAGGAAAACGCGCTCCAGCTGGAAATTGAAATCGCATTTCGGGAATATGAAATTATGGTGGACGAAAATGCTGTCGCGGGGGAACTCGCAAGCTTAGATGAAAATGCTTTCGAAGAAGGCCCACTAGGAGATGAATTTTCGTTTTGTGAATGAAGCGAGACTGCAACACTGTTGTTTTTCCAAAGACAAAATTTTTCATACCATTGGATTAATACACTACTAGCCCACTGCCTTTCTTTTAATGTTCTTGCGGTTTCCCTTATGATATACTTCTCGCTGCATTCACTTGCCGTAACTATTGGGAAAAATTTTGCTTCGCCCATTTCTGGGTCCTGACACACACACGCTACCTCCACTTCACCCCACATAAGTCATGCTGCCATATGTGTGTTCGTAATCTTTTTATGCTACTGATCATTTTTCGTTATACAAAACTGCGCCCAAATTTTATGAAGCAGGACATTTAATGAAATCGAGAAAGTATGTCTAGTCGCATGGGGCACTGTTGAGCAAAACACATAACGGACATCATGACAGTTGCTCAGAATTTCCTCAACAAGTTGCTGTTCATTAAAAAAATGTTGCAAGCTAGTGCAAGTTTCCTTTCATGGGCGAGGCAGTCAGAAGCTCTTTTAATAAATAATTGTTTAGCTTCTAAATATATACTGTATCGAAAGCCTTTATTTATTACAGCATGAACCAAGTTTGTGTCCATTTTAAACACCGACATAATTATTGTGCCTCTTCGAAATACAACTTGCCTTAAGTTTGCTGTGCTTAGATGTGTGTGTGTGTGTGAACATTGTTTTGTTTTTTTCCTCCTGTTCAGTATTCAGAAGTATCGTCCATTTACAGTTTGCCGTGTTTGTGTGTTTTGTAGCTGAACTTAGCCGACATGCATATTTTTGTAGTTGGGAGCAATCACAAAATGAGCTTTGGATGCGTTAAAACATAAATGTGTTTCAGGCCTCATGTTTTTTACATCAACAAGTGTTTCAGTGGCTGTAAAAGCATTATTGTGAAGTAGGGGTTAAACGGGACAGATCCAAAAGTTTCCAGTATTTTATTTGCTCTGCAGTGTTTGTGATAAATTGCAAGTGGCACCCCCTTCTAGGACGTTTCATTTCACCTTGTGAATGTGCTCAACTTTGGAGCCATGTGCAAACAGTCGGAAGGTACCAGACGTTGTACACAGCATTATTGTTTGTTTGTTTATTGTCACTGACTTGCATTTGATGTTGAATAAAGCGAAGGAAAGCTGCATGTCTAGTCTGTTTGCGTGCCTTTGCTGCTCTTCTAATAGCTCGTACCTTTTTATAGTCTGACCCACCTCTTGTCGGTATGGGTATTCTATAGCTGTGAAGGTGACCTACTAAAGGTGCTCACCAGCTATTCCATTATCAAATTTCTCGTGGTACAGGCTGAAGCCTGAGAATTTCTTCAACAGTGGAATCACTGAACAATGTGTGTGAAAGTGGAGGCTTGGATGCTTACCACAAGGTTCCAAGAGCTTCGCTTTGCAGAACAAGAACAAGGTATGGTGGCTCTACCAGAGGAAAAGGTGGTTCCCCCATTTTCGTTTTACTCAGGCATCTCACAACATTGAGTGTGCTGAAATGAAAAAAGACAGGTGCCATCAAGGAAGAGAACTTAAGGTCAGAACAGAAAGGATGTTGTAATACAATCTAAACAGTGTGTTTACCTTATTAGGATTGTGTACTCACTTCTTTATACTCCTTCTGAAAAGTGTACGAGCCTTATTTTGAAAAACTAAAGGCGCACGGAACTAGCGTAGAAAGGCATATATGTATGTATATGGTGTGTGCGCGTGTGTGTGTGTGCGCATAAAGAGGTGCACAGGCACACACACAAGCACTACTGCAGCAGATTGGCGAGCAGACTCGTGCAATCCCAGAATGCCTGCAAGCTTTTAGTACTGTGGGAGAAGTGTGTGTGTGTCAAGACTGCTTTTTGGTTGCCCTCTGCTCGTTGGCTCCGTGCGAGCTCGAGACAGAAACGTTCTGAAATCATAAATACCACACATATCCAAATGCGCCTACACATGAAATATGAAATGAATAATACAGTCAATGTACGTATTATGTACAAAGTGGGTGTATATCAGATGAAGCAATTAAGTGGCATGTTCGTTATCATGTGCCATTATCGTCGACACATATTACCACGAGCTGGAACATGAAATTCCATTTAGTTCCATTGTCCAACTTCAAGGAATGGTGGTGCTAAAGTAAAAGCTGCTATGAGAAAGCTTGAGGTCCCCGTAGCCCCTGTATTACATTGAGGAAGCACTGCAGGGCTTCGTGGCAGTGCGGATTTCTCTTGAATAGGTATTTTCATAGATTACCGCACCTTTCGTTCAATTAACTACATTTAAAAGTGTGCTTAAATGTTTTCACAGCTTAGCACGGCTTAGCACTCCTTTACTGCAGTGAAACCACCTCTACAAGGAGTTAAATGTGCACTAATATACATTTAGATGGCTTCCTTCATGGCTTAGAAATCCTCTACTGCAGTGAAACTACTTTTACAGGGGCTGCATGTGAACTAATGTACATTTGTTCGTTCATTTTGAACACTTTGAAATATTAGAATCAAACAATTAGAATCAAAACAAATTCGATTATAGTTACATTTGTTCAAATATTTGCACAAGCCTAGTATTTAGAGTAGTAGTGGTAGTGTGCATTGCACCTAGTCGTGCAAGGCTGGGTCACAGAAAAGTCGACGAGCTCCTCACTGGTTCTAGCGTGGCTAGTGTTCTACCTTCTCGTTTTTTTTTTTTTTTCAAATCTTGCTATTTTTTCTATACATGGCCATATGTGCTCTTTTTTTTAGTGTGTATTTTTTTATCTGTTTCTGTCTTTCTATCTCATCTTTGTTCCATTTCTTTTTCTTTTTATTCCCTTTCTCTCACTGTATCTTTTTCTTTCTCTTTCTGTAATCAATAACACCTTCTTTTTCTCTTCCCTCACTCATCGTTCTTTACTCGTTCACCTCCTTTCCCTTGCGTCCCTTTCCAACCCCCTCCCTGTGTTTTTCTATACAAAGCTATGTTATGTTCTGCTAGCATGAGTACACAGCTCTGACTATCGCCTTGCCACGCTTCTAATATTTTTTTTTCCTGAAGAACGTATTTTTCGTTCTTTTCCTTTCTCTGTCTAGTTAACTATCTTCCTTTACTAAATGGCAAACGTACTGTCTGGTGTAGTTTGTAAGTATCAGAACTTCACCTAGTGCTCGTCGATAGTGTCAGTGAACACCAATTCCAGATGCATTTGCAAATTGTATTGACCACTCCGGGACTTGATGTCCGCACTACATCGACTTGAATCAATTTTTGCAATAGTGCATTCTGCCCCCCCGCTGTTCTTAAAAAGATCATGACGCTTCGAAAATGCTCACCTGTTCCAACGGTGGCACAACACACAAACGCAACACAGATAGAAATTGTAGAGGCCATTGCTGCTAAACACTGAAGTTCGTGACTGAATTACGATGCAATATATCCCACCTGGCCAAGTTACTTGAAAATTCGTTCATGGCCTGCTTAGTGAGATAATGAAAACGTAGTTTTCTGCTAAAAAATTCGCATAAAGGTCGAGGGCAACAACACGGGCAGCGCTTTTCAACTAAATTTATTTGTGTAGGACACAAAGAACACACACTCAAACATCGTTACAACAAAGTTTCAGCTTTGACTAAAATAAGTTTATGTCCGAAAATTCATTATTGGGTTTATTCCAACACTATATTGTTGAAAGATTGTTCTTTATTTACTTTGTTATAACCGATATTTCGTTATATCCGGGTCCGTTGTATCGAGGTTTGAGTTTATACCTAAACACAATGCGTGCACCTAAAACCACAAACATAGCTAACAGGACAACCAATGCTCAAGCAATCGATAAACTATGAAGAGATCAATAGGTCATTTGAGGTCTCTTGATCTGAATTATGACACAGCGCAAGTGGTAAACTTAAACACAAAGCCCTTGCGCTTGGCACACGGCTGCAGAGATATGCGCACTTTGCCTATCAACGATTGAGCACGTTAGTGACACTCGCGTACTTGAAAAAGGGGTCTATTCGTGTTATGTTTTCTAACTCTTTAGCAGTGGCCTCATTTAGCTTCCATTGGGCCATAACGTTATGCAGTGTTTTGCTGATACTATTCATTTTCTAATTAAAAGTGAAATTACTGTTCAGGGTTCCTAGTGTTTCATGTCCAAAAAATTGTCATTTTGAGATCTGTATAAGTACTTGGGTACTAAGTTTATTCTTGCATTACTTCCTTAAGCTTATGACAATTGAAATGGCAATGCTCATTAAAATGCACACAATCATAATGGAGTATCTGTGTTCCATTATAACAGGCTATGTTACATTTTGTAACTAACGGGCTATGTTACAGAAGCTACACCAGTGATAAACCACAAGAGCTGGCTACATAACTGCTGCACTTGTTCAGTCACTGGTAAGTAGCTCTAGATATGTAACTCTTTCATCCAGTAATTGCTAATAATATTCTATACCTCAAAATACAAGGTTTAATACTGCACTGAATTGTCTTGTGCAAGCCTGTGGCTCATCATGTTTGGCTCCATAGTCGAGCAGTGAGAAACCTCTCTAAGAGTCCTTGTGTAATGCCACCTGGTTGGTGTGCAACAAAGTACTACACTGTAGTTATGCTGCTTGCAATCTGTAAGAACTTGGAAATCGTCAATATCGTGCGATTTTTCTGTAGTCAGCGACAGGCTACAACGTCATTCACTTACGTGAACCAATTACATTAGCTCAATTTCAAGGTGTGATGTGTGCTTGCGAGTTTAGGGCAGTCAATGCATCGCTGTACAAACTCGCTTATGTGTCGCTGCTAGTAATTAGCGGTTACCAGGTGCGGTATTATAAGATGTCCAGGCATTGAAGTTTGTGTCATCCAAATATACTTTAGCTAGGAACAACAGGCGATATTTTTAAATAAAGCCAAAGCTGGTGTAGTCACCAAAATTCTTGAATTCAGTAAGCTTTCCTAGGTGTCAACAGAATTCTCAAGACTGGCGCCAAGTGTCGGTTGTGTGCTTTTAAAAGTAGGGAGCATTTATATGTGCGCCTCTGCCTTTGAAAGTGCTTGTTAAAGGGGGGGGGTCTTATATTTCATTTATTGTTCTATAGTAATGAAAATTACCATGCATTTGTATCATTCAATGTTACTTTCAAATCTCCAAACAGATTTTACATATATCATTTATAAAGGAATAAAGAAGTTTACCCGCTGTATCGGGTAATTTTGTACAGGCGATTATGGTAACTTACAATACAGTAAGTTAGTTTTCAAAACTACATGATTCTTCTAAAAGACCCACCCCTTGTAACTTACAGTCTAAAAGGTTCACCACGCTGGCTTTTCAACAGCAAGCTGCACGTCAAAACAGCTATTTATTTGATAAGAAATGACTGGAAAGTAAAAATTACCTTTCAGTAATAAGCTGGTATTTATCAAGTAATTATAGTTCTATCAAGGTTGAGGGGAGGGTGCTTTAGCATGTAGTTAAGTGCTGTAGAAAAGAATGATGAGATACATAATTTGTTAAACTTCACAGAAACTTACTCAAAAGTTCTGTAAGGCAAATTCACTTATAGAAAATATATATGCCAAGGAGAATTGCATTGCGAGCTTTAAAAACATTTGTAATTCAATCTACTCAGCCTGTAGGAAAAGAGAGCATTTTGTCATAACATAATACTTTTCCAGGACATAATTTAAACTCTTATAGTAATTTCCAAAAGTAAACATTTTTTACAATTAATTGCTATTTAAGGGCTCTTGCCCCTGTGCCCCATTTAAAGGGACAATAAAGGCAAATATTAAGTCGATGTTGATTGCTGAAATAGTGGTCCAGAAACTTCTTGGTGCTACTTTTGTGCCCAGGAAGTGCTTAATTTAAAATTAAGTCACATTCTAGTGGTGTGCATCACATTAGCACACTTCAAATTACGCGCCTCGAGTGGAACCTTTAACATCACTGTTGCCGTGCACAACATTGCTCGGCTTTACTGCATGGCTGCCAACACTAGTAGCAGCAGAACGAAAGTAGTGGGAGCCACAGAAGCAACAGCCACTGAACAATTTCCTGCCACGGTTTTCGAGATGGCCGGCATGCTTGGTTCAACTGAACCCTGCTAGATGGCACAATCTATCCAGTTTAACCAGGCAAAAATTGAACTTTTGAACCACTTGCACC